GAGCTGCCTTATTACCTTGGTTACTCATAGCAATTAATGGATTATTTCTCTTCCTGGGCATCTACAGGAGTGGATTCTGCAGCAGGTTGATATGAAGAGGTCTTTCTTTTGCTTTCCAGTAGGTGGCGCTGGAGCATTTAATGACCTCTGCTTCAGCATTTTCTTTTGTGCTGTTCTGGCATCTCATGTAGTGGGAGGTTTCCCGGGAGGTGGGCTTCTCCTCTGTGATAAGGTTGCCTCAGTCTCAGAGCACGACTCCCAAGGGAGAATGTGGTAGGCAATGGAGTTCTGAGCCGCTGAAACCCCAATGCTACCCCTGTAGCCCGGTGCACAAAACTTGTGTGTCTCAGCAGCTCTCTCAGGGATCATTCAGGAAAGGTGGGGGCGGGCTGGGCTGGGAGAGGTGGCAGGTGTGTTTGTAGCTCCGAGCAATGGCGCCTGCCAGCCCACAGCTGTCTTGCTCCCAGAGCTCCTTCCCTGTTACTGAAATTAGCCGCACTATGCGTCTGTCGCGCAAACTGTCTCTCCAGGGTTATAGATATTCTGCTCTTCAATCTCATACTGCTACAGTTTTTCCTGGGGTCCGCTGCTAACACTGGGAGGGTGGGGGGAGGCGGCCAGGCCCCACGGCTTTGTTTTCCGCTTGGCAGTGAGGGCAGTGAGGGCTGTCACACTTCTGTGTTTGGTCTTTGCCCCGAGGACTCTGCCCTGATCACTGGGTTCAGCCGTATTATATCCTGATCCCTCAGGAACGATTGCAGGCCACAGAAAGTGTATTGCAATCTCAATCCTCCCCTCTCCCAGGACCCCAATGAGCTCCCGGCTGCGTCCTGTGGCCCCTATCTCTGCACTTCCCCCTTCCCTACCCCCGTTTGCCCCGATTTGCCCACTTTTAGAGGTTTTGATGCACGGATCTCTCAGATGTGTGTGTGTTGTGTAGGGAGTCCTTTGTTGAATTATAGCTGTTCAATTTGTTGAAACTTCCAGGGGAGATTTCAAGAAGCACCCTTCATGCTGCCATGATTTTCCATTTAAGTTTATAATCCAGTATGAGTTAATTTTTGTGAAAAGTGTAAGGTCTGTATCTAGGTTCTTTTTTTTGCAAATGGACATCCAATTGTTCCAGCACCATTTATTGAGGAGGTTTTCCTCTCTCCATTGAATTGCCTTTGCTCTGTTAAAGAACAGTTGACCATGTTTCTGTGGGTCTATTTATGAATCCTCTCTTCTGTTCCAGTCATCTATATGTCTGTTCTTTCAGCAACCCCATGCTATCTTGATTATAATTAGTATATTAGTGTTTTCTCTTTTTAAAATTATACTTGCAGATTTTTCCTTTTATATCTTCAAGAACCAGTTTTGAATTTCTTCGTTAATTCTGGCTCTTACCTAGTTATTTCTTTTCTTGAAGTTATTTTGTTTTTCTTTTCTCTAGCTTCTTCAGTTAAATTAGTTAAGCTCATTTTATTTTCTCTTAAAATATGTATCTTAGTCTGCTAGAGCTTCCATAAAAAGTATCACAGGCTGGGTGGCTTAAACAGTAGAAATTTATTTTCTCACAATTTTGGAGGATAGAAGTCCAAAATTAAGGTGCTGGAAAATTTGTTTTTTGGTCAAGTCTCCCTGGCTTGCAGATGGCCACTTTCTCATTGTGTCGTCATAGGACCTTTTCCTTTTCCTTGTGCACAAGGGGAGGTGGGTGGGTGGTGATATACATATCTCCCTCTCCTCTCTGTCTCCCTGTCCACACAAGGATGGACACACACACACACACCAGGAAATTAACATTGATACAATATAAAATACTCTTATCCAATCTACAGGTTTTATTTATATTTTGTCAATTGCCCTACTAATATTCTTCATAGCAAAAGGAGATCCCAGATCATATATTGCATTTAGTTGTCATATCTCTTTAGTTATTCTTTGTATTTTATGACTTTGGTATTTTTGAAGACTATAGGTCTGTTATTTTGTAGACAGCTCCCCAGTTTGGGTTTGTTTTGTTTCCGCACTATTTGGTTCAGGTTATGCAGTTAAACTTTTTTTTCTTTTAATTTTCACTTACAGTTGATATTCATTATTATATTCGTTTCAGATGTATCAGGTTATGCATTTTTGGCAGGAATCCCACAGAAGTGATACTGTGTCCTTCTCAATGGATCATATCAGGAAGTGCATGGTGTCGTTTGTCTCATTACTGATGATGTTAACTTCCATCACTTGGTTAAGTGTTTGCCAGACTTCTCCACTGTAAAGTTACTATTTTTCTTTTATGTGCTGAATAAGTTACCTTATGAGGAGATACTGTGAGGCTATTATCTTGTTATTCTTCAAACCTTCACCCACTAATTTTATCACCCATTGATGAGTCTTAGCTGCATCATTTTTTACTACAATGGTTACCAAATGGTTACTTTCTATAATTTCTTCTACATTTAGTTACTTTGTTGTTATTTTTTCCTCAAGGAGTTAAACTCCTGCAGTTGAACGCCTGTCTTTCAAAACTGTTGTCTTTTAAATCCAAAGCTCAGCTATGAGGCCTTTGTTCTAGGCTGTACTCACCTTCTATCTGAGGCAGCGAATACCAACAAAACTATGGCTGATGAGCCACAGGGTCACAAGAATAATTTCAGCCTAGGAGAAGCCCCTAGGTTTAAAATCTTCAAATAGTATCTTTTGCAAGTTTTTATATTGTTGTGTTTTTATAGGTGTTTTACTGTATAATTGAGTGAAACTGCTATTAAAAAGGAATTATGGGATCAAAAATAAATATATTACCACTTTAAGTATATGAAGTAATTTAAACTGATAATAAAACATTGCCAAATTGCTGACTTGCTGAACCCGCTTTAATGAATATAAAAGACCCTTAATAACAGTGGTTGCCCAAACTGTTTTTCGTATCTTTGTGGCAATCTTGTGGTTACCTATTTATGCTTTCTAATCCCCTCACCTTCTCCCTCATCCCCACCCTCCTCCCATCTAGCGAACCTCAGTTTTTTCTCTGTATCTCTGAGAGTGTTTCTGATTAGTTTGTTCATTTATTCTATTCTTTAGTTTCCACCTATAAGTGAGATCATATGGTATTTGCCTTTCTCCGACTGACTTATTTCACTTAGCATAATATTCTCTAGGTCTATCTGTATTGTTGCAAATGGTACGATTTCATTCTTCTTTATGGCCGAGTAATACTCCATTGAATAAATGTAACACAGTTTCTTAATCCACTTGTCTACTGATGGGCATTTCGGTTGTTTCCATGTTTTGGCTATTGTAAAGATTTTATAGGGTATCAGATGGACACTTGTCTTATTAGGGAGACCACTTTATGGACAGTGTAGGTGCCTGACCACTGTACTGTACACCTGAAGCTGAAGCTGAAGCTGAATAATAATGTCAACTATAATTTTATATATAGGATGTGGAGTACAGCATAGGGAATAGAGTCAGTGGAACTGTAACAGCTATATACAATGTCAGAGGGGTAGTAGATTGGGAGAGGGGTGTTATCACTTTGTGAGGGGTATAAATGTCTAACTATTACATTGTTTTGTACACTTGAAACTAATAATAAAAAGATAATAGTGGTTGCAAAAAATTAAAGTTTGAAAAGAATTTTAAACATTTCTGCCTTTTGTTTTTGTTTTTTTAGCTGAGCCATCGTGCTACCTGTTGGCAGCTTGGCGGCAGCTCAGTGGCATCTCAGCTCAGGCCAGGACTCAGACGGCTGTTGCTCAGAGCTCGCACTCTTGAGTTAGCTCTTAACCAACTGAGCCACTCGGCCAGCCCTCATTTTTGTCTTTTGAATAGCTTACTCCTTTCCCCCCACGGCCTACACTACTAATTCGCTAGATTAACTCAGCAAAGATTGCACAAGGGTTAAAGCTGTAATGCTGTTTCAATAATGATGCATTATTATTAATTCCAATTTAGGGAATTGGAATTGCTGTCTTTGATTTCACTCTCTGAAGTTGTATGTTTTAGTAAAAGGTGAAAGATTTATGTGATCTGAAGAGAAACCAGAGTATGAAGTTGTATGTTTTAAATTTGGTGGCTTGTGAGTTGGGTGAAAGTATCTTCTGCCTGCCTCATTCTTTGCCTCTGTCATCTCAGAGGGGTGCTTGAATCGGGTTTGTTTCAGAGATAGGTGGTGGCTTCTGTAATATCTTCAAGACTTGTCATGTTTTCTGAAGCAAAACCATTTCTTTGTCAAAACCTGGCAGATTCTTTCATGCTAAAGCATAGAGAGAGACTTAGGAAAGAGGATACTTATTTATGTTAGCAGTTTCTTGCAAATATATAGTGTCAACTAATAGGAGAACATATAATAATTTACATTAAAACAAAGAGTTGAGAAACACGATTTCCTAATTTCTTTATGGGATTAGCCCAAGAGAATAAATCACAAAAGAAGAAAGCTAACTGCTAAGAGTCTCCTGGGTTTTCTCTTTCTTTTTAAAAAAATATGGTACGCTTCACAAATTTGCATGTCATCCTTGTGCAGGGGCCATGCTAATCTTCTCTGTATCGTTCCAATTTTTAGCGTATGTGCTGCCGAAGCGAGCACATTGGGTTTTCTCTTTCAAGCACATTCTTTTATATTAATGACTGACCATATATTTGAAATCTTCACCTTGAGGATCTAAAATAAAAAAGAAAAACACAATTAAAGTTACTCAGCATGCACAATCGCTGTATTGTGAATGCTGGACTTTGGATATATTAGCACACCCTTGTACATCCTCCTGTGCACAGAAGTTCTAGGGAAATGCTGTTTGACTACCTTGATTTCTGCTGTTTGTTTCAGTGGCTCAAATGTACAGAGATGATTATCTCTACCTGGAAGTGACATTTTCTTAAGAAATGTGTGTGTGGAGGGGATTTAAGAATACTGCAGAGCACATTAGTTCTTATCTTTTTGTTTAAACAACTATTCATGTAGCCAATTCCTTACTTATTTTATGTGTTTTGAACAAATGATTTTTTAAAATCAATAGATCCTTCTCATTATGAGCCTGAAGACACCTTTTTCTCAGTGTTTCACACTCAAGTCCCTCCAGAAGAATATGAAAACCGTACACAGAATGTCAATCAAGGTATGTCTCAATTTGTGTGATTTTACATATTGTCACAAGAAAATACTAGCTGTGTACAGAAATATTCACAGGTGAAACGATTTGATGAGATTTAATCTAGAGGTGGGTGGAAGTAGGTGTGGTTCTAGATGAAACAAGATTGATCATGAGTAATCATTGTTGAAGTTAGTTGTTGAGGGTTCATTATACCATTCTTTATACTTAGGGATGTTTGAAATTTTATATAATAAAGACCTAAAGAAGGGATGGCTGTAAGTAATGGAAATGCAGCTTAAGGAAGAAAGAAAATTAATGGAAAGAATTCTGGGGGGTAGACAGCTTCTTTTATTTTCAAGAGCATATTCTGTGGGTAGTCACTGAGAAGGAGACTCTTCCAAAATCTTAGAGAAGAGACCAACTAATCCAACTTGGGTTAGGTGCCTACCCTGGTCTAACCAACTCAACCAACCCAGCAAGGGTTGGGGTCATTGAAGGAACATGGCCGCTTCTACCATGGATCACCACCAGGATGAAGAGGAGAAGAGGACATTTCTAGTGAGACAATTCTGACCATACAATCCAGTGTTTCTCCTACGATTTATTAAAAGTATATTTTAAAGAAACGCTTACAAATGTAGACATGGGTGCATCTGAGTTATTTGAATGTTGTATTGTGTAAGAGTATACATGTATGAAACTTCAACTGAATGAATAAATCTCATATTTTAATTTAAAAGACTATATATTGTACAATTTGGATTCTGGGAAAAATTTATATATTTTATATCTAAGGAGGCCACTCACCAAAAACATAACTCATACTTTAACGGTTGGTAGTTGATTAAAAAAATCATGTTATTGATTAGAAAATAAAACCCCAATTATGAAGCACAGATTTGTTTGTCTAAAAACTTGTAACTTAAATTTGAGTAAAACATTTTTTACTCATTTTTAGTTTTGTTTGAAAATAATTTAAATCCGGAGATTTTACTCTTTTCCTGGTTCTTTTCAGCTATTGTTATCAAAATTTATTTTGTAATTATTAAATTCATATTGAATCTTGGATAATTATCTATAAATACACCAATCGACAAGCTCCCTTAATCCTTTTCATTGAGGTTAGCTCTCTTATAAAACAAAGATAACTTTTAGGAAACCTTGTCTAGATTAAGCTACTGGCTTGTTTTTGCCCTTTGGACTTGAATGTGATGATTTATCCTGTTTTGTAGGATGGACTCCACTTGTAATTTTAGAAAACTCTTCTCTATGCATATTTTTAGAGCTTTAATGAAAGATTCACATGATCTTGTTTTAAATGCTTTAAGCATGACTACAGTGAAAACAAGATATTTAATAAAGGGATAAGAGTCCACAAGTATTTTTCTTATCCTTGTTTTGAGCACTCAGGAGTTGACTTAAGCCTCATTTCAAAGCTGAGAAAACTGACAAACTAGAATGAGCTATAGAGGTTTGTGTAGATGGGATGTAGAACATCACAGACACTTATGCCCAAACCAAAGACAGGTATGAACAAAAAGTTTATTGTTCAGAGAGGGTGATGGCAAATTAATAGAAGAGCAGGGAATGACTCTAGTCTTTAGGGAAAGTTTTGTTTCATATAAAGACTACAATAAAATATATTTTAATTAATTAATTAATTAATTATTTCCCCCCCATTACTCCTAAATACTTTAATGTGTATTTTCTAAAAATGGCATTCTCTTATTAAAGTCAGAAAATTATCATTGATCCTGTACTCTTATCTAATGAACAGAGCGTATTATAATTTTGCCAATTATTCCACTAATGCCTTTATATCAAAAGAAAAAAATTATGGTCCAGGATATATTTTTAAATTACCAAAACATCAGAGATTTCTCCTTCACATTTATCACTTGTAGTTCTTTTCGTATTTCCCATGATTCCAAGGAATCAAAAGCAAGAAGTTTGATACATGATAATAAATAACAGAAGTTTTATGAGAACTTCATTGCAAATTATATAGCACATTGACTTTTTAAGAATAAATCTCTCTATATATTAGGTTTCTGGATCTGGAATTTAGAAGTCTATGTATGTTTTATTTCTTATACATTTTAATGTATGCTTAAGGTAAAATTTTAGCATAATGGACAACTATAATTATGAAAAAATTTTGAACTTTTTTAATATTAGATTTTACCTATGATGTGGAAAGAAATGAGTCATTGATCAAAGCAGAAAAGAAACCTTTCTCAAATACGGAAAAGATTGAGTTCAGGGGTAAACACAGCCACGATTTTATTAAGAGAAACATTGAGGTATGTATTTAGAAGTCAGAAGGTGGGACTAAATGAATTGTGAAAATCAAAATAGTTGTGTTTGGTGTCTTTAATTTTTTTGACCGTAATGCATGTATGTATAATTTAAACAACATATATAACTGAAATGAAAGTTTTATGAACCAGTGCTTAACTTCACTATTTTCTGTTCTATCTATCCTATCCTTTCCTATCCTATCCCTTTAAAAAATGCTAACTGCAACTCAATATGTTTATTTCACTACCCAGAAATGAATCCGTTCCTGCAATTTGAAGAACATTTATTTAGATAACAGCTTTGGAACATGTTTTCCAGATTTTAAATTGCATGTTAGTAAAAATTTTTTTTTTAAAGTAATGAGACTGATTTTATAGCTGATGCATCTAGAAATTTGAGTGCAAAATGCTCCTGGCAGAGCTGAAGAGGCCAACTGGTGTCCCTTCCCCCACCCCCTGTCTGCCCCTCCCTGCCCAGCTGAGCCTCCTAGCAGCTCTTCACATGTCATTGGCTTCAAAGGCTTGACCTTGGTCTTACAGGCCCTGCAACCTGATTTGGTTTGTTCTCAAGGAAGACTCAGAGTAACCAAGGGCACAGGGGCTCCTGTATTAGACCAGAATGCTAATTAATTAATTTACAGCAAGCAATATAAATGCTGTGGTCAGAGGCTCATGGTCAACCACTGAGGCAGTTAAGTCAATAGAAAACTGCATTGGTGTGTGTGAAGTCTTAACAAGAGGAGAGAGTTCAATAAGTTTTTCACACTTCAAGCCTGGTCCCTTTTCCACAGTTGGCATGTAATTTCCATGCCGACTGCATTTATGGGTCAGTTTGCCACTGCTGGGACTGAATTCTGGGACTCTTAATTTTTCTGTGCTTCATGTTCCTATAACCTGAAGGAAACCTTCTCCAACTTGATCTGTCCCTTTGCACTGGCCCATTGTCTGTTGATTTGTTGTTTAATTTTCCAAGAGCAATAATGTTTTTCCCATATTCAAGTTTTTGTTGACACAGTAGCTCCACTATAGATTTTGCTTTCCCCCTTTTAACAACGGTAACTGAATCTTTATTTAAACCCCTGACATGATATTCTTAAAATTTAAAAGCAGTTTCATTTAATGGATATATGCTTCCTAGGAAGTGACAAGAAGATTCCTTCCAAATGCCCTAGCAGATATGTTTTTGCATTGATATAATATAAAGAGAGGTTTGCAAACTGCTTGTGTTTTGTTTTTGCATTGATATAATATAAAGAGAGGTTTGCAAACTGCTTGTGTTTTATTAGTTTGTTTTTAAAATAAAATGTCTGTTGAAATGGTTAACGTGAGGGCCTCCTTATAGTGGGAATGCCTTTGCTTGGAGAATGGACCTATGCCAAAAATTTTACATAAAATAAAGTTACCTAATGTCACAAATTTTACTGTAGTGTATCTGTACTATAGAAGTCTTAGGTTTCATTTTTATTTTCCTGAACTATGAATTGCTTTGAGTACTTAATATTTTGCTTTAATACATTCTGTAGTTGGCCAAGAATTCAGGAAAACCAGTGGTTATGATTGACAAGGAGAAGAAAAGGCTGATTGAACTTTTGAAGGACTTAGATGATAGAGATTCGGGGCTGTCCAGTTCTGAGGTATGTAATCTCTGATATTCAATTACCTCTACACTTCTTAATTTTTACTTTATTATTGTTATTGACCTATTAGCATAAGATTACAATAATTTTTCAAATTATGAGAATATTCTCTGACTTTAAAAAACCCTGTTTTACAAATTTATTTTTATTGAAATTTTCAAATTTATTTTTGGTCATTTCAATATTGGCTCCCAAAGGATTATTTTATGTAATTATAAGAATGACTGTACTTGGTTATAATAATAACCTCTGCCTGTGATGTAATAGGCTTCGTCACTGATGACATATAATGTTCCTCTGTATCCTTTTGTTTTGGATATTTTTTATTGTCCCTAAACTGTCTGTCTGGTATTTCAGTGTAGACTTCAGTAATCCTAAACAACATCGCCTGCTCCTGCGCAGTTAACCTTGAGCATTCAGTTCCCTGCAGAGCCTGGGGAAGCACAGACTGAGTCTAAGCAGGGGAACAGCATGTAATCCAGGGTGCCAATTTGGGTATTCACAGGGCCTGAGCTGGCCATATAAGGAGTGCAGTGGCTCAGGATTTGTACTTGTTTGCAAACTTATAGCAGTTCTTTTTTTTTTTTTAAATTGGGGAACAGTGTTTTTCCAGGACCCATCAGCTCTGAGTCAAGTTGTTTCAATCTAGTTGTGGAGGGTGCATCTCAGTGGCCCATGTGGGGATCGAACCGGCAACCTTGGTGTTGTGAGCCTGAGCTCTAACCAGCTGAGCTAACAGGCTACCCCTATAGCAGTATTTTTTACTTCTCCAAAGAAATATGCTCTACTGTATTCCTTGAAGCCCTTACCCTGTGATCTAGTTTCTACTTGCCCGTGTTTAATAGAGACATGATACAGGAGTGCGGCTGACGCCCTGCCCAGATCCCTTTTACCTGGCACCCTTCAGTGCACCCATCCCGCTTCCCTGTGCCAAGGGTGCACAGCTGCCTCCCGCCCTGGAGAATCGCCCTGGGCTAGATGGGAGCTGAGCAGCCCAGGACAGCATACCCTCCCCACCCTGCCCTCTCACTCAGGACTGGACCAGTTCTGGGGTGCAGTTTGTCCTCCAGAGCTTCCCCAGGGCTCAGCTGGCCTTCAGCTGAGACCACATCCTTGCCTGGCTTTCTTCCCTTGGCCTAGCCTGCTTCTCATACCCATTTTCCTGCACACACCCTCCGCCCCCCAATAAGTCACTTGAACAAGAGTCCATGTCTCAGGTTCTGCATCCAGAGAACTCAGCTGGAAACGTATAGGTTCAGAGGGTACTTTTTGCTCTACGGACAAAAGCAGCGCATGTGCAGCGATACCTGTGGCCAGTAGGGAAGGGCGTGCCCATCCACAGGAGCCAAAAATCAGCGTCAGCTATCGGCTGCTGTGTGGAAACCCTAGCCCAGGGCTGCCAGGATCCTCCAATTTGTCAAGAGATGCTAGAAATTCAGATTTTGATGGGCAGCATCGCTCTTTTTAAATGTTGACAACCACTGCACTGTACACCTGAAGCTGAAGCTGAATAAAACTGAATGTCAACTATAATTTAATATGTATATAGTCACAGGATGTGGAGTACAGCATAGAGGATAGAGTCATTGGAATCGTAACAGCTATATGTGATGTCAGAGGGGTAGTAGATTGGTGGAGGGGTGTTATCACTTTGTGAGGGGGGCGTTAAATGTCTATTACGTTGTGTTGTATCCCTGAAACTAATAATAATAAAAAAATAAGTGTTGACAACGAATTCCATGAAACAAAGTTCTGTGTGGGCAAACAAAATCTCTACCCTCTTCCCTTACCCCAAACCAAAGCAAGTCTGCAGAGCATCACAGAGTGCAACCTCTCAGTAATCTTTTCTGAGATAGTGCAGGCTGAGTGGGGGCTGTGTCTAGGAATGAATGAAGGTGTTGCTGCACCTGGGGCTGGTGAGATTGCCCAGGGAGGTCCAGAGGACAGCCAGGCCTCTTAGCATCTGGTGTGTTCTGCAGGGGCACGGAGTGGGTACGACAGACTGCTAAATGCCCACGTAATTCTGACATAGTTTAGCTTTAGCATCCAGGGTAATTTGTTTATCTTATTAATAAAAGCTAAGGTCACAGTAACAGCTAAAGGACCTGGGTCTCATTCCTGGTTTTGTTGTTAGAATTGTTAAGTTGGGCAAGCTGCTGCCCACTGATCCTCTGGGTACCAAACTATGGCATGATGGCTCTTCCTTATATGTTCTAGAAATGCCTTAACAATGCTTTTTTGTTGTCAATATTGTCTTTCACATGTTATTTTTGTTAGTACTTATATCTTATCTCTTTCTTTCAAACCCTTTTCCATCATTTAATTTTAGGTAGATCTTTCACAAGTACCATATAGTTGGATTTTTGTTGTTGTTGTGTCTTTATCTTTGTTTTTTTATCTTTCATTATTATTTCCTTATTCTTTATGTTTTAATGAGGATATTTAATTTATTCATACTTTTATGATCACTGATAATTTTTGGACCTTTTCCTGACACCTTATTTTATATTTCATTTATTATATGTATACATATATATTTTTGTTTTTGTAATGATACTGCCTCATCCTTTGAAAACTCAGTATCTTATTCCTGATCTGGTGCTGTTAACCCTTAAGTTCTTAAAAGACATTAAAATGTATATTTTCTTTTCAACATCAATAATTAGTCCCTAAAATCTTATATCTTACTAAGACAGGATCTTTGGTATATTTTTATTTCCTTTTTCTCCCATTTCCTCTCTTCTGGGATGTATTGAAATTACCTGGAATTTTAGTTCCAGAATATTATAAGTTTTTAGCTTTAAAAACAGTGTTCTTCTTGTATTTTAGGAATGTTTCTTAACAGTAGCCAAATTTTTAGCCACGTCATTAACTATGTAGTTAGGCTTAAATCATTATTTATTTTTGAATTCTTCTTCTGAGTATTTTTTTGAAAGTTTCTCCTAAGAAATAATTTTTGAGTGTTTGCATATCCAAAAATTTGTTTGTTTTTTCCTTATTTGACTGATAGTCTCAAAAGGTAGTTTCAAATGGTGGTAAGTAAATTCTAGTTGCAAAATTATTTTCTTCTTGAAGCATGTAGGATTTTTGCCTGATTTTTGAGTTCCCAAATTTTATCAGAACATAGTTATATGTATCTTTAAAAACATTTTTGTTCCTGCATGTTACCTTGTAGGCCCTTTTTATCTGAAGGGTCAGGTTTTTCTTCAGTTCAGAACATTATGTGCTATTATTTCTTCCCTTCCATCATCTCTTTTCTCTCCTTTTGGGCTATCTATACAATGGAATATCATTTGGGACTGTGATTGGCTGCAAGTAACATAAAACTTTATAAACAGCGGTGTAAACAAGTAAGGAATTTGTTTTTCCTCAGTAACAAGAAATCCAGGTGTAAGCAGCCAGTGTCTTTCTATCTTCTGGCTCCACGTTCTTAGTATGGTTTTGTTTTTAGGTTTGCAAGATTGCTGCTGTATCTGAGGTAAATGTGTGCATTTTCCAGGCAAGAAGAAAAGGGGAAGGGTCAGGGACAAAGAGACACTCCTCCGAGGCTTTGCCTTTTCATTTGGGAAGGTATGGTATCCCCAGGACACCCACCTGCACATCCCTGGCCGAGCTGGGTCACATCGCCATTTGCTTCATACGTTGCTGAAATTGGGATTGGGGATTCCGGTATTTCACTTCCTCATTTTTGTAGTGGAGGAAGGCAAGGAAGAAGAAACTTGGAAAAGGGGATTAGGTTAGTCAGTGAGTGTACACATGTCTGCCACAGATGGGTATAGAACTGGATCTCTCCTCAGGGTTTATAATATTTTTCTCATAATCTTCATCTTTTCTTTCATTTTGTTCATATAAGCTCATTGAACAGTTTTTCAAGTTGCCTTTCAATCATGTATGTTCTGCTATGTAGTTATTTAGTCCTCTTTTGAGATTGTTGTTGTTTTACAGGTATTATTGTTATTTAAACTAGTATTTGCTGAGAGTTTTTTTCTGCAAGTCCTCTGAGGAGAAAGAGGGTTTTTTTTCTCATTATCCAGCATGGGACATAGACATTTTATACAGAAATTCTATGAAGACAGATAGACAGTGGCTCATGTTGGAATAGAGATTCAGAGAAGGAAGATATGCAGTGTGGCAGAAAAATTTAGGAACACTTGGAGGAGGGGGCCTATCTCCTATTTTCTCAAACCGTACAAACTTCTAGCCATTCCTCAAATTTGCGCTATTCTTTCAAACTTCTGTGTGCCCTTTTCTTTATGGAGTGCCTTACCTCTTCATCTTTGACAAGTGCCTTTGCAGCTTAGAGGATGATTAAAATGATGTTTTAATCCCTGAGAACTCTTGCTTCTGGCTGTTCTTTATAGTGGCATGTTTAATTGTGTGGATGTCACATTCTCTTGAATCTCTTCTAGGATGCTTAGACTTTTTTAAAGATTTCCTCCTATGTTGGGAACTCATACTTGAAACTTAATGGCACTCCCCAAAGCCAAACATCTCTATTGCCACCCTCCCCAGCAACATGGCTTTCGCATCGGATCTAATTACTCACATCTAAATCAATATTGAATGGGTACATCTGACTGCAGACTCTCAGTTACTGGTGTGAGCCCTCACTGTGAAAAAGGGTGGTGAAGAGCATTTTCTAGGTTCTGTCTCAGGGAGGCAAGGCTCCTAAATGCTAGAAATGTCCCACAAATAGCAAAGGTATCTAGAACATGCTAGATAGAGAAACATGATACCATCTAGTACATATCACGTTTAATTTCCTTCTGTAACTGCCTAGCCAATGAAGATTTTACGTTTCTGTTGAGTTGAATCTGACATGTTGTTTTCCCTCCAGTGTCATTAAAAAAGAATTCCATTCAGACAAAGATTTAAAATTTATTAACCAATTAGTCATTGTGATTTTATAGTTTTACTTTTTTGTGATTCTTTATTATTTCTCATTTAAGTCATACAGTATTTGTACCATTTTTATTTAGGAAAAATTAACCAGAGTT